AAAAGAAAAAAAATATTCCATCATTCGTTTCCATTTCCAAGAGCACTTATCAACGAAGGATAACTTGATACAACAAACTGGATTTTCCCATAAAAATAACCGAAGTAGCGTGACCGAAACTGATGCTAATTAAGGATATCAGGATAATCCTTTACCTCTTTCAACGTCTTAAAAATTAATCTCCTATCTGTCCTTTTAATCCGTCAGATTAATACTTCATGCCGATGCAAGAGACTCCCGACAACTTGACCCTACGATTCCATCCCCGTGGGGGGTGAGGGAGGACGATTCTGGGGGTTTCGAGGGCGGAGCATCCCTTATCAGCACCGAACACTCGTGCTCCGCGCAGCCTCCGTGGCTTCAATGACTTTTTGAAGCGAATTCACCGACTCACGGCCTCTCGTTCTTGGACGTGGACGTATCCTTGTTCGATACCCATCTTGGAATATTATCGAAGGATATTTCATCTGTCTCTTCTTGTAACAAGAAACTCGATTTTGATAAAAAAGAAAAGAGAAGAAAAGAAAATAAGTTTATCTTTTTATGCCAGCAGTTTTCGTAAACTTTGATAAGGGATTATGAAAATATGGGAAATAGTTAGAATGGAACACTCGTGCGAGAAGGAAGATCGATCGCATGAAAATGTTACCTACATTTTAGCGAAGAACTTTATTTACAAGAAATTTCCATAAATTCTTGAATTTATTTGGATTTTTTAATGAATTAAAAGGAGATAAAAACATTAAATACAGTATCGTAACGTATTTAAATACTGATATAGATATAAATATATTAGAAGCGAATGTTTCCAATAAATTGATTCTTTCATTTTTCCCTTCCTTCAATTTCTTGTGTTTGCATACCGGAACTTGGATAATTTCGAAACGAATCCACGTTTGTCTGGTTGGAGACGCACGTGGAAAACAAACACTAATAATGGAATTAATATAGGGCGGCTGGTTGACAGCGATAACGAAAATTGATTTCACCCTCCACCCTCTGCCCTCGTGCTTCTGAGCCTCGGTTTGGGGGGTCCTATTTGAACGCGTTCACGTTTCATGGGACACTGCGCAAACCGGCCGACACGCCTCTTTTCTATTAGAGCGGACTGCCGACGATAATTCTTCTACGTGTTCGACCATATTCCATTCTCGGTTAGATTTTCCATGCTACTTCATCCGATATCTTATAATAATACGTATATACAATTCAGGATAACACACTATCGTGGCATCGTTAAATCTACGATTTTATATATAACACATTTTTGTATTATAGAAAAAGGAGAAATTTCACTATCAATGATTAATTAAATGATTGATTTAAAACGATTTATATTTATTTATAATCTATTAAGGAATTTGAACGTGGAAGTCTATTTTTCCTTTTCAATTTATACAAAATAAAAAAATTTATGTAATTCTATGCGAATGGAATGTCAAATATCAATGTATGGATTTTTTCAAATAATTTTTCTTTTAAAAAGATAGAAAATAATTTCATCGATGTTCGACCACAGGGATTATATTTTACAAGAGATAATGCTAATACTTGATTCGTATTCGTCGGCACGCGCAAATTAAGCCGTATGTGGGAAACCGCTACAAAATGTATTCCAAACGATTTTTCTATCACAAGGGAATTTATCGAAATGAATCTTGAGCCAGCATTAAAATCAATCACGTGAAAATCAAGTATAATTTATATTTTTTTTTCATCTTATTTGCATAAATTGTAGTGGATATAAAAAATTTGCTAACAAATTTTTATTTTAAAATTACTCATTGACGGACAATGGGTACGATTGAATTCAAAGGAAAAAGCGTAGGACTGAAAAGATGATTCATAAAACAAGGATAATGTTGATTTGAAGAAACTTGAAGAATGATGATTCAATTGTTAAATAAATATATCGGTGAAATATACAACAAATATAAAATATCCATCCAAGAAACGAATTCATCTTGTGTATCAGATATCGGTATTATTTATTCATATTTTACCACATTTCTCTGTTGCAGAAATACCATATGCGGCCGCAATAATGGATCAACAAAGAATGAGAGAAAAAAATCACCCCTCAAATGGGGTGGCATCTACGAATAAGGCACGCGACTCCATTCAAGGATAAGGCACGTGCCATTTATACGCTTTTTATCTTCAGATTAAGGTGTCAGATAAAGTTAAAAAGCGGGATCCTAATAACGGCATTAAAAGATACTACGCATACGGTCTTAAATCATGCTCTTATCAATTCGTGAGATCGTTTTCTTTTTTTTCCACCAATCGACATATTTCTGGGAATTTTTAAAACCGCAATTGATATCCCAATTTCTTTTTTCTTTTTCTTATATATTAACAACAATGGCTCAACAAATTGCTCGAGTATCTATCGCAATGAGCTCTTTGTTCCATCATCTGGTTCTGTAACAATGGATAAAGAGTTTCAATGAAGTCGTTCTTTTGTTATCGGTGCGTCATGTGCATAGAGGCTCATGACTAAATCTATCTCCACCTTCTTCCTGTTTCATCCCGCTAACATCTGACTCGAAGATGCCTCCTACACAATTAAACAGCAAATAACATCAGACTCGTGTCCTATCTAATCGCGAACGTTATCAAAAGCGTACTGAAGTTCATTTTTTCTTTTTCTTTTTTTTTTTTTTTTTTGTCTTAAACCA